TCTTTCTCGTAATCTTCATTTTCCAAACGCATTAAGGGACCTTATATTCGCAAAGTAGAAATTATTAAGGATAATTAAGATGAAAGTTTTATTTGATAGAGGAATTCTCATGATGTTTGGAAATACTCAGTTTAAATCTAATCTCAGTTCACACTCTTGCTTTTTAGAATGAAATGCCATGTAATAAAGGGAAACCACAAACAGCCAAGCCATGCTTTGAAACTGCAGAGGGCACTACTTTTGTCCCTTAAAAAAGAAGATCAATTAAACTTCCCAACGTCTTGTGGTTTTGGTAACTGTCAAATGGATAGAAGATAGGACTGAAGAAAATGATAATCACAGTACCTTAAGGAAACAGAAAGAACTGAATGGGAGATGAAAACTTACACTAACCTACAAAGAAAAAGTTGCAGGTAGCATAGAAAAGCTACCAAAATTCAGATAAAAAATAAAACACTTGAAATGGATGTGGACAGAGATGTTCTATTGAAGATATTTTTGCCAACACAAGTTCTTACTCATAGATGAAATAGCTCGACTGAAATCTTATTTAAATTAACAGAAATTTTGTCAATACTTTTAATTGGTCTGTAATGTCCCTAAAACATTAATTTGTGAATAGTCAAATTGGCTGTGAATAGGCAGAACTGGGAAGCAGACTGAAGTTTCTATATCTTGGTCATGATGCTAAGAGGCTAATAATAATATATTTTTGACTTTAAATCACTTCCTACTGAGCAGATATTTTATTTTCCATCTACCAGTGTTTGTTTTTCTGAAGCTCTTCAGCTGTAACTGAAGATAGCCAGATCCTGAATCCAATTGCATTTCCAAGATAGTCAGTCACCTGAGTCAGTGCTCTCCTTGCTTCTCTCTTGCTCATTGCAAGGGATCCATTTGCAGTGGAACCAAAATCTTACTCAGCTTGCGTTGACTAAAAATGTGAGAACATGTGCAGCTCCTGCATGCTTGTTTCCAGTGTAGGAATGACTGTACCACATCTGCTTCTACCCCAAAGGCCAGGATGTGCAGGCTGTGGGAAGATGCTAGGCTGTTATTCTTTTATTTCTATGGTTCAGTCTAGCTTTAGAACGAGCTAAATGGAGTGATTGTTTTCTTTATATACTGTCTATGGTATTTCTGTTTAGTTTAAGCTGGAAATATATGTACAGAATATCAAACTTCCAAAAAATTGGGGAGCAAGGGGTGTGTTTCTGAGGTTTCATTCAGTTCTTTATGTTTGCAAGCGTAGCTTCTCTGTCCCCAGTTATAAACTCTGAGTAGGTAGCATTGGCTACAGTTTCTCTTTGGAGGGATGGAGGTAAGAGAAACAATTTTTCTCACAAACTTATCATTTATTGGAATACTGAGGTCTCCAACCTCAACTGTTAGACTCCATGACAGGGCAGCTAGTAATAGAGATTGGCTCCCCAAGGGGTCGGATGAGACCTAGAGAAGGCGGGATGTTACGCCATGGATTAGAAGCATGGGATATACGGTGCTGCTAAGTGGCATGCTGTTTATTTCAGCACATTTATTTCTGCACAGGCGTTCACTAGATGACATGTTCATATCCTGCTTTTTCTTTCTGCCTTTGAAGCAAGGAGCCCTGTACTGTTTTTTACAGTTGAGATGTATTTGGGGTTTTTTAGCTAAAGAGAGAGAGGGTGTAAACTTTTTAAGTCTCTTATTTCAGCTGTGAGGCTTAACTGGTCTGATGTGATGCTCCTTCTCACGTAGAGAGGACTTTCTGCATTATTTCTCTAATTATCAGATCTTGCTAATCTTACTGCTGTGTTCTGCCCTAGGGAGCCCCCGATCATCTCTATTTGGAACTGTATTAGTTCAGCTAGGCAGACACCATCGTTGGTAGCTTTTCATGGCTGTTCCCCACTGAATGCGATAGCTTCCTTTGCATATCCACCCTCTCTCTCCAGTCTTTACTCTTCATATTCAGTTCTTTGATCAGTCATACAGTAAGTTTTTTAAATATGCAGCTTTTTAAAATTATCAACCACTTACTCCCTGCTTAATATGTCACTTTACCAGGAAAGTAATAAGAAGATGAAAGGAGGAAAGTGACTTTTGTGTAGAAATCTGGCTCGAGGTGTGAGTGGAGAAAAAATACAGTCCTACTTTATTATGTCTTATCATCTCTGAAATTATGTAGGTATTTTTCAGTCAACAAATTAATTTTCAGATGGAAAATCACAGTTATGAATAGGTTTTGGTCTGCCTTTCAGTCATCACATCATACCATTACAGCAAAAACTGGAGTTCATAATGATATTGTGGAAACTGGTGATCAAAGGTTGTTTACATGGGCTGTGTTCACTGATTTGCCAAAGTTGTCTCATACAGATGCACTTTAATGACTATTCTCTGCAAAACTGATTTTTCAAAAAAGATTCTTTAATCTGATTACTCTGTAATCTTAGTTATTCTTGAGAGTGTGAGATTACATACAGTATGTTTTACATTATTATGATTCAAAAGGTTCCACGAAAGGAAGGTATTGCAAAAAAATAACCCCATCTTATTCACAAGGAAACAGTAATTACAGTTTTAAGTCTAATTTTAAACACCTTATGAAAAATCTTCAAAGAATGGCTGTGAAAAATCTGAAATGAGGACTTTTAATTCATCAGTAGACATACATACACAAGAGTTAAATATAGGCTCTTATCTTGAAAATTGCTATATAAAAATAAGTTGTATGGATTTGTAGTTTTAGGATTAATTTCATGTGTTAGCATTTACAAGGCAGAGGATTTATATATTTTCATACCCATGGAACATATTTTCAAAACATGTGACAACCAAGTTAAGTGCTTCTCAACCACTTCTCTTTTCTGGGATATTTTACCCTATGAACAAGTATTCCCATAAGTAGAAAAACAGTGCAATTGGGACCTAAAACTTCTTTAATGGGATTCATTCTGACATCATAAGCCTCTAGTCAGTTTCAAGGATCCAACTTTTCAAAAAAAAATAAATCTATTGATAAAATAGTCCTTCCTCTCCTCAAAATGGCGAATTACTTCCAAAATTATACTGTGCAGAATCAAAATTCATCTTAGAACTGTAATTCTCACCATTCAAATAAGAGCTACTACGTAAGCAAATAAAAAAGGAATAAAAAAAGTACTGTAAGTCAGTTTTAAAGTTTTGTGGTTCTGAATTCTGCACAGTTGGACTCTCAATGACTAAGGCTTCTAGCTCATAAATTATCGAATTTGAAATACATTCAGATTTAAATGTTTAATGTAGTTTTTCTGCAATGCAAGAGTATTGAAGAAAGCGTAGTTTGAAGGCCATAACATGATCTTTAATTAGTCACTGATAGCTTCTGCTATTCAGGAACCATTAATACAGCCAGTCTCTCATGTTGCTAAATACATTGACAGCCTTACAAACATAAAAGTGTACAAATATTTTATACATATGTATTCTTTTTTAGATGAAGTGAGTCTAGGTAGCTAGGAGGCTTGCTATGGGGAATAAGTAAATTTAGTATTTTTGCCCCTCTGTTATAATGGTGAGTTTGCTGCTGACTGAGCAGAGACCAACAGTAGGTCCTGCAATTCTACCCTAACAACTGAAGAACAAATTTTGATGATGCAGTTAGCACTGTTTCATCTTCTCTCTTCCTCAGGGAAAATAAATATGCAGTCAAAAGCATTTTTATGTTGGTGCATCTATAGCTACATCCGTTCATAGCTATTTCATTGTAATAAAAGCATTAGGAAAAATAAGTACAACATCTGTAAATGACAGCACTATAAGAAAAAGTTTCCAGCTTATGCTTGGTTTTAAGAAACCAGAGAAATATCACACTGTTAAGTGTAAGCTAGAAGGGGGTTTTGTATTTGATTTGCTGTTTGTTTCCAATCTTTTTCCTTGAAAAAAAAATGAACTCCTAATTAATCTTTGCTAATTTTGATGTTTTCTTTCTTGTATTTTGTTAACAGGCTTGTTTTGTGCCAAGGTAAATCTGGGTGAAACTGAGAAAAATGGCAGTTTCAAATCCAAATGGAGCAGTGTGCCAAAGGAGCTCAAGAGACCCATACCCCAGCACGTCTTAAAGGAACCATGGACAGCATTTTCTGTCAAGCTATGATGGCCTGTACGGGAACTAGCATTTTAGGTAATAAGTTTTGGGGAGGCCTTCCCAGGTAAATACCTTTCTTCCATATACCTGGTATTACCAAGCAAGAAGGGCCAGAGACATTCAATAGCTCTAGCCTTACCAGAAAATCTGTTCCAAACAGTTGACTCAGATACTGTTTGTTCTACTGTCCTTCAGAATGATGAGAGAACTGTGGTTGTTGTACACTGTGAAATAACCTCCTTCTATTCACTGATTCATAGATGTATTTAAAATGAAAACACCCATTTAAAAATATTTTTGTATGTTTATCAACATCTTTTAGGGATCTGATAATTTCTTTCTCTTGGTTTACTGAATGGATATGTCCTGTTATCAGCAATTCCACATCCACCATTCAGTAATTATGCAAATAGAGACCAGCATGGAGAAACTGAAAATAATCCCTGCATCAGAGAGTACAGCATTTTCACAAAGGTTTAAAATCAAACAAAAAAAAATCTAAAATGACTACTTGAGTGCTTTTATTTTTACTTAGATTACTTCATGAAGTGTTCTTTTAGTATACAAATCACAAAGGAATTGTACTTGAAAGTACAAAAAAAAAAGATCTTCAGGGGTTCAGGTTTTTAAACCATGTCTATAATTCTGCTTTTTAGCTTTGAGAAAAGAGAAAATACCATCTTTCACCTTTGTATTTTTAGAGAGAAAAAGTCATCTAATCTCTGTAGTTATCAAGTGAGGTAATGTTTTGTGTAGCTATTTAGGTTATTTTTCACAATTCTTGTATTAGTGTCCCTATAGAAGTACCAGGAACTTCAGTGGGAGATAAGCACACGTATTTGTTTGCAGCTAGGAGCACTGGGCCTGATCGTTTCTTTTTGTCACACAGCACATACCGTGTTCCAGTCGGCGAAGCATTTTTGTCATTTATCCGCCTGTGGGTGACAACGTGCGACCAGCGCAGCGGCAGAGCTCCACCCAGCGGTGCCCGGCGCTCCCTCGCGGCACCCAACAACCGCGGGGCTGGCTGCCCTCCTCCCTCCAGTGCAGGTCACTGCTCAGAACTGCCCGAATTCTGGCCCACACTGTCAGTCAGAACCATCCAGAGTCTCTGCACGCTGAGCAATTAAACATCGTATTGAACATGCATTAAACGATACGGCCGTCGCGCTCTTCCTTCTTCCACCGAGAGGCAGGTAGGTGCTTGGCAGTTTTAGCTTTTGATTATGAGTTTTGGGGTATGAACGTAGATATTGTGAAAAACCTTGGCCAACACTTTTTTCCTATGCAAGCCTAAAAATATTGTTTTAAATTAAATTCCTTACGATATTTATACTTTTGGGTGAAACAGATACAAAGTATCTAAAGATAGGGAAAAAGTTTATTTAGACTTGTATTAATCATAATATTTTCCGCAGGTACCAAGCAACAGGCAAAGAAACCTTTCATAAGGTAAGCAATATACAAAAAGCATTCTAGGCCAGATTACTCTCTCATATCAGTCAAAATACAAGGATTTTATTAAGTAGAATTCATTCAGATCTGGTGTAACTAAGAAGACAATGTAGTCTACCATGTAATTTTTTTGAGGCGTCTGTATTTTAGTTCAGCTTGCAGGTTGTCAACTTTCTGCATTCCTCTTCAAAGTCATTATGTTTACCTATTCTGGTGTCATTGATTTACCGGGGTGTAAACTTTGTCTTCATTTAACTTTCCTGATGTGTGAAGCTCACCTGAGGACATCTATTTGGATGGGCTTTGGGTTTCAGAAGCAAAAGAGGGCATAAACTTTATTACACTGCAGTTGTACAAGCAGTACTGCTAACTGAGGTTTACACATACACCCAAAGATTTACTATCACGTTTTATTGAAAGACATGTTTTCAGATTTCCTCACTTGATCACACACAGGAGGAAATGATGCAACAAATCCAAGGACCTAAACCAGAATGCTTTGATATTTTAAGAAAACATTCAGCATCATTTGAGCACAGATACACTATTTTAAGGGATGACCTTGCACCCAGATTGCACACAGATAACTGTTTCTGGATTCACACAAATGATGATGTTGCAGATCTGTATGTTAATTACAAGTGGTTCTAGTAAAAAATTATTTTTAAAGTGTTTTCCTTATCAGTGGTTCTGAAAAAAAGCATTTAAGAAATTGTTTTAGATGAAAACTAGTTGGTTTCTTGTCAAAGTATTATTTCTGTAGTTGGCAAAATATGAAACTTTGGATTCTAGTGGGGCTTGGAGGATTGGTGTGTTCAATGGCTTGATAAAGTATTCCCTCTCAGTCCTTGGTATCAAAGTTAAAATATTATTCACATTATGATTCTGATATAGTTTTGCAACATCCTGAACATGTCCACTCAATTAACATGAAAAAATTGTTTAAGCCACAGAATTTTGCAGTACAAGATGTATGACATCTGCATAACATGTAAATGAGCACTTAATGAGCACTTGGCATTCCTTAGAAAGATCAGGACCTACTCCAGGCAAGACACCCTGAGGAATGGTTAGGTCTGAAGACCCCACTGGTGAAGGTCACCATGTAAAAGAAAAAAAATATTTCTGGAAATGTAAACTTCAACAGAGAGATGGTGTGAAGATTTAGAGCAGAAAAAATAAAATATATATAGTAGAAGAGAGATTAAGAACAAAAAGGGAGTAGCAGGTAGGTGACCGATACTGCATGTAGCAGTGGAAGGTAGATAATTCAGGATATGAACATAAATGGAAGTTGTGCAGCACTTCAGAGGTGCGGGCAAGGAGCTTGCTTTCGAAACACTAAAGAACAGGAAATTGCAAAAGGGTTTTAGAAGCTGAGACAGTGGTTTGGCCAGAATCATGTTATTAACCCAGTGAAGACTTTAAACTGGCATTCTGGGGACAGGAAGATAGGAGAAGGTTACAATAATTGAGATAAAGTGATAACCTTAGTATGGTATTTTTGCTCATATCTTGGGAACAAAAAAAATCCATCATGTACTCATTGATTTTCTCTGTAATTTTTATACTTCAGGTAGCATGGATTTTGCTGTCATCTTCCAAACCTTGACAAATTACTTCAGCTTTGGTATAGCATTTTTGTAATTGTTCTACTGGGCTCAGCAAAAGTCTAATCACAAATAAAAGCTCACTCCCGAGTTTTATTTTGCTCCATCTCTTCAGCAGCTTTAGAGCTAAATTGTGTATGTACACGTACGGGTATGTATCGTTAATGGAAAATTCACCCTCTGTGTGTGTGTGTCTGCACGTATACCTGCTCAGAAACAGTAGTGGAAGCTGGTATGTATTTTTAACTTAAAAAAAAAGGAGAAAATCTAGCTAAACCCTGTTCTGAAGGATGTAAAAAAAAAAAAAAAAATTGCCAAAGGTCCATGAGTGATGAGGTCCTCACTGCTCCGAGGATGATCTGCGCCGGTCCGTTCCCCCTTGGCCACCCCGCTGCTGGCGGGACCGAGCCCCTTACCGAGAGCTGCTGGCGCGGAGGCAGCTGGCCCACGGCCGCGGGGCTGTGGCGGGTGGCTCCCCTCACGCTGTCCCTTTTCTCTGCCTTCTCCAGCCCTGCTGCAGCCCCCGGGACGCAGTCCGGCACTCTAACCTCTCCGCCCGCTCCACACCGGTTTCCGCTCGGACCAGGGAC